ATGATTGGATCTCCGGCTGTGAAAAGCCATCCTGTGTAGCTCGCAGGGTCACTGAGGCGCGCAAGCCATCACGCCACGTCAAGGTGCAGTCTCGTCGTGACGATATTACAAAGGCTTTTGCGTCATAGTCAGTCACGCATCAGTTTTGGAGGGTCGAGGTGATACGCGAAAGTAAATCTATAGGGTGACAGGAATTATCCCTATGAGCAGCACAGTATCTGCTACGCGTCTCAGTGTCATCACCGTAACCTATTGCTCCCAAAAGCGTGGCGGAAGCTTTTACTTGTCATTTGGGAGTAAGGTTTCATTAATTACTAGGACCTCCGTAAAATAGGCAACTAATTTAATAGCATCGGTCATATAGTTGACCCATGATCGAACATCAATTACCAACCACTTCCAAAAAGTTCGCACCTACGTGTGACTGACAACATCAGCAGTATCACAAAAGGTCACGGTGGACAGGGCTAAATCATCACCAGATGTATTGTAACCATTCTACAACAATCATGGCCGACAGGCGCACTAATTCAAATAGGAATGTGTCCCAAGCAACGAATTGAGCACGAAATCGAAACCCGCCCAGACGCACATCGGTCGCTGGGTCCACTAACTCTGTCCTTCCTGTGCCGGCCGAAGGTAAATCAAACAACTTCGAATAGACAAGTTTCATTTCAATTCAAACACCATATCTCAACCGTCAAGCATAACCGATCTCAGTGTAACACATTATATTGCATACGCTGCCGCATAAGCCATATTGGACCTGATCACTATGCTGAAATATCAAAGATGTTTTTTACGTTTACTCTTCACCAGACCCAGGGGTCATATCTTTTACTCTCTTACCACCGGCCATCTCAAAATTGCCATGGCGAGAGAATTAAATTACACTGGACTGTCAATCATCAAGATTCAAAAGAGAAAGAACTGCTAAAAGGTACTGCAGTAGAACGCACGAATGATATATTCGGGTAGATCCAAGGCCCCGATGAATCTCCTATTCGAGTTTGTTTGACAGAGGACGTTGTCGATACAATCTGGACTGCAGATCCATCCACCAAAATGTACACCTTTCAGGCCCATTGGGAGCATCAGTCATACTTCATCTGTGGTATAATTTTAGCAGTCCATTGGAACAGATTATGAAAAGCTAAATTTGAGGAAAGTTATTTCTAGCAGGAAGCGACAGCCTACGCAGACAACGTGACGGAAGACCAAGATTCACAGGGAAAACATGCGGAATGACAGCACTCAGGATTTAATCGATAAAGGTAACGATGGTACCGGAAAGTGTTGTGTTAAACCGTTTAATGGAAGAAGTCAAGTTCCACGAGAAATACGATTTGTGAGTCAATGATGATGGAAACAAGTTCCAGTGAATAAAAAACGCGATGGTTTTAGCGAACAAGCTCGTTTTCGACAACTTCTTCTTCGGGCTAATACAGTTATATAGTCAAATGAAAATGAAAATGTTCATCACTGGCTGTGTGATTCGCGGTTTTTGATTGTTTTTGGTGTGTGGTTGGGAAAGGGGTGGGATGGGAGGATGTGATCGTAACAAGGTTGGAAAAACAATTAGGATGTGGACGTGTCATCACGCTTTAGGGTCGCGGGGTCATGGGAAAGGTCAAGTTTATCTCGGGGGTGTGTCACGTTATGGCCAAGGCCAAAACTATATACCTGTATTAGCCCGAAGTTGTCAAAAACGAGCTTGTTCGCTAAAACCATCGCGTTTTTTCTGCATGCCAATATGGGAATAAAAAACACGTTTATTATCTCGTAAAATGAATCACTAAAAAAGATAAACGGAACAGTGAAACATATTAGATGAACGTACCGGCACGGAAGGATACGAATAACATCGGATGCCTTGTACAGTTCAATACACACGGCGCTCTGATCATAGCCACTGCTGACTTCAATATCGGACGGTCGAAGAGTTCGTAACGGGAGCTTCTTCATGGCTTTACGTGTAGCTAGTACTAGATGCCTCTGTGAATAGATTGAACGGGGGTGGGGATGAATGAGCAAAGCAATGGTCTGATTAACAATGTGACCTAGTTTAATTGACAAACGTTTAGTTTCTTCTTCGGGTAACAAGTTAGTTGAAATTCAATAAACTTTTGGTTCAGAGAACGTGACAGTTCAATGAAATTTATGAGAGAAATAATAACGTTTAGAGTAGGGAAAACGAGTCAAAGGTAGGTTAGACAACCGAACGACCACAGCAGCATAAGTCAACCAGGAAGAAAAGGTCAAGGACATGGCAAGGCTTCTGTAATTACGAAATTATACGTATTGCTGCGTTTCTATCCGATGGTATTCAGTGGAGTTATTCTACTGAATTATAAATTGGGTGACCACATGATGAAACCATCCGTAATTTTTCTTTTAAAGATGGGCGTTAAAATTTCAATCTTTTGTACAGTTCTAAAGTGCTCGCATTTTACTTATTTTCAGACTAAGAAATAGGCAAATATATAACTAATCACAATGCTCTCAACTTTTGGGGAAACGCTCTGGTTGCCTTTTATAAAATCAAGCTGTGATGAGCAGTCAATCCACATGCACACAACAACTGAGTGAGGCGATTCAAGATTGTGTCATGAATCTTCTTAATGGAATGCGACCTTCAAATGGGTTACTTGCTTCATGGAATGAATCCCGCGGTGGCAGTATCCGCACAGCGGGAACTAGTGTCTTATCATTTCAACTGCGAAAGAAGGCCCATATGAATGACAATGAACTTTACATCATGTCCTAAACTGTGAGGCTTCAATGAGGATCGCAGTTTTACCGAAACGAAGCCTGATCATTGATTGACGAGAATTGCAATGGACAAAGTGAACACGTCCATAATCTGTACTAACCGTTTGAAAATCTACGGGCCTTTATTGCTTGTTTTTCTGCGTTTTCGTTTCCCAATCAGCTTGCCGATAAAATATGGCTGATGACAATTAGCTCATAGAATATTGGGGAACCAGAGATTTGCATCACGGAAAGTGTTAAAAGAGAAACTGAACTCAAAATATTTTTTTCTCNTTTTCTCACGAAAACCGATGGATTTATTTGATGAGTATAATAAGGACTATGGGCAGACGAGAAGAACAAAGTAATGCTTCCACTTAGTTTACAGACTGGAAAGATCGGCGATAAAAGATAACCAAAATATTGGGGCTTGGAATACCGTCACGTCGTGCATATGGAATGGTGGCCAAGGCAACGCCCTATTGTTGATTNGATTGTTGTTCCATTAACCGTACAAAACGAAGGCGTGAACCTGCATTAGTGACCATTATATTCAGTGGGCTCAATCCTCCAGATATTCAGAACTTAATTGCGCGACTCAAATCAGTCCCCCCCCCCCTCCACACCGGTTCCATAACGACAACTCATACAGAATTCTCGTTAAACTGTTTGAATGGGTTCAGAACGAAAAGGAAAATAGCGCGAATTGTGGATAACACAGCTGATTCAATAGGTTATATGTACCACCCAGAGGCAAAGCCGTATGCTATCCGTAGTGTGCCAAATTGAAGTTACGGTAACCAATACCGCGGATTTTGGATCGCTATATAATTGGCCCTGGATGAGCATGAACAATTTCCGAGGACGTGGTGGGTTCTAAATTAGCAAGCGGCTCCTCCGTATAAAGTGTCACAAGAGTCTGATGACGGTCCTCTGACGTGACCCGCTGCTAAAAATGTTATCAACCACCATCCCTTTCAATCTACTCTACAAAGATTTCCGAAGTACATAAATGAGCAAAACCAATGACCACTGGCTTGTCTGGAACAACTCTATCGCGTTTGAGTTCGCACCTGGATGAGCAAAGGTTAGAAATGCAAACTCACATAAAAAGCTTCTTGCGGTCTTATCATGTGAACTACTGTAGATCAAAATGAGGAATGGTCCGCGAACAGGGGGTGGTCGTGCAAAAGTGAATAATTCAGTAAAATTCAGCACCAAGGTGCAGAATATCGATTACTAACGGCAGTACAATTTTGCACATATGCGATGTAAAAGCAATACTGACGATGAGGTGCATAATAGTTCTCGTGAATCCCTATAACATAACGGTCATTTTTGTCGATAAACGGAGTTTATAGCACAATAACCTCGAGAGGAAAAGCGAAAAAAGACTATTGGTTTCATGATTAACTGCCACATATATAAACATTTAACATCAATCTTTACAGATACGGCGCCAAAATTACCATGCGTTTAACGCAAACTGTGGAAACAGAAAGGGGAAAAAAGACAGTCATATTTGGGGATAACAGGGGTTTTGATCATCTAAATTGCGCATATTGAGATGAATGAGATATTGTGGTCCGTTCGATTTGCAGCAAAAGTTTGTCTTGAGTGTCAACTTACAAAGACTATTCAACGTGTCAATTCAGTCGGTATAGTAGTGGAACATTTCAACGGACTGAAGGGAAAGAGGAATTGTAAAAATTATCGCTGTTTCTAACATAGATCTTGCCGGATCCAAAAGAATTATAAACCTTTTCAGATATTTTTTAGAGTATCAAGCTTGATTTGGCCATTCGATTGTTCAGAGACACCAGGCACTCTTGATGGTCTTGGGTGTGGGTCTCACTCCTTAGGGGATCGTTAATTTCCCACAAGACAATGCATTCAAATGCAATGGAAATGTTTATGACAACCATCAAAGAGCACTGGACAGCTGTTTCGTCCTGCTTGGGACTCGTCAGCAGTGCGTACTTTTTGTCCCTGTCAAGACTCAAATCGTGA